TATGCTAGGTCTGTCAACCAAATAGGCTCATTAGGTACGAAATTAACATGCAATAGACAATGGTCCAATCAACTCCGTCCCGTTTCACTATTCTTACATTTTTCGCAGGATCAACACTCAGCATACCTTCGTAAGGAGCTGACGGCCATGCGTGACAAGTACATTGTCGATACCCGCATCCACTGTGCTCTCTTCTTCATCAACCCTACGGGTCACTCCTTGCGCCCGATCGATATCATCGTCATGAAGAAGTTGTCTGAGGTTGTCAACGTTGTTCCTGTCATCGCCAAGAGCGACTCTTTGACTATCGAGGAGAGGGACAACTTCAAGAGCAAGGTAAATTTTAATTTCTGTGCTTCGAGGGTCGAATACTGACTGCCCCGGGTTTGATAGATTCGTGCCGAGCTAGTATACCACAACATCCGCCTCTATCCCTTTGATACGGACGAGTTTGATGAGGAGGAATTGAAGCACAACGATGTCATCCGCTCCATGATCCCCTTCGCCATCGTTGGCTCGGAGCGCAATGTGATCATTGACGGAAAGCCCGTCCGCGGTCGCAAGAACCGATGGGGTGTTGTGAATGTCGAGGATGAGCGTCATTGCGAGTTCGTGTACCTCCGTGATTTCCTCCTCAGGACACACTTGCAAGATTTGATCGAGACTACGGCCCAAATCCACTACGAGGCCTTCCGATCGAAGCAACTCCTTGCCCTCAAGGAGGCATCCTCGGCTGGTGCTGCAAGACCTGCTCAGGCTACTGGATCTACTGCATAAGAATGCAAAAAGCCATTCGATGGCGTATCTCGTCCAACTCGCTGATATGGAACACTTGTCATTCCCTCCGTCTGGTGCTGGTAGATGATCCTGGGTTTCGTGGATTGCCAGACGACTTTGAATCGCATACATTTCATTCTTTTTACCCTTCTGTCTCGTCTTTACATTTAGGTTATTGTCTTGTCTTAACCCTTCGTTGCGTAGTAGGCGTTGTTTAATCCGACTGATTCGACTGCGAATAACGATTTCTGAATTTTGAGTCCTTGAATCTCGCTCTGCGGGCTGCTCGGTGACCCCGGGGTCATTGCCCCATTTGTGAATCGCTGCACTTGATATAAATGACGGCGACACTAGCAAAAGGTCTTTCCACTTTGGACCCTTTCACGCCTTAGCTTTTTTTTGCTAAGATATCTATTTCTTCACTATAGGAGTTATTTGAGCATGTCTTA